TTTCCCCCCCCCCCGCCCTGGGAGCTCCAAACTGATGGAGATACTTTATTTGTAATATTGTCATTAAGGCTGTATAATCAATGTGGCTTTCCAATTGCAAACCAAATGGACCAAAGCGACTTTAGCTGATACAGTACCGTAATTTGGACATCAAGCCTCAGTAAATGAAAGCAAAACAATGTGTCTCTGAAATAGAACTATATAAGGAAAATATGAGGCTGAAGATGCCAAAATGTAGTCTTTGTTCACTGACAGCTCTACCTTCCAATCTGCAAAGTCTTAAAGTGTACTGCTTATATAGCCCCCCAATAACACTTAGAGCATTCTATGATGTCTACAATTTAATTATGAAGGCTACACATTGCCTCCAGCGAGTCAGGTACTCAGTTAACCAACCTCAGAAAGACTCAAGGCTGAGTCAATCTTGAGAGCTACCCAAGCCAATTGAATCAAATTCAAATTATGAGCAGAGTATTGACCACAGTATAGCAGTTTAACCACTGCACCATGAATCTCACCTGCAATCTTCAATCACATGTTTGAATAAAAGGATGGTGAGGATGAAGAGTATGCAACCAGTTATATGCTCCCGCTCTAGAGCTCTTTTATAAGTTCTATTAGCAATTAGGACATTTCTCAAAGATCTTCATGAGAGTTTGGTGGCAGCTTTTACTGTAGCTTTTGGTACCTAAACTTCAGTCCTCCTTTTTAAATTCTTTCCCAATACCATGCTATACTCCTCCTTACACTTTACATGTGTTGTCTGAGTGAATCTGTGTCTTAGTATCAATGCTGTTTAGCAGTTTTATTGGACAATTACACTTCTGTTAACCCAACTCTCTCCAATTTTGCCCTGGTTTTCACATTAAGTTTGATTCTGATTTCAATCTATATCGCTTATTTTAAACAATTTCTCTGACTTTACTTCTCCCCTCCTATCTGTCTGTACTGTGTGTATCTGTCTGCGAGTTATAGCCACAAACTGCTCAAAAACATTATCACAGCACAGAAAAGCAATGCACATATTTAGCAGACCTTTAGCACTTTAAAACAAAGTTTAAAGGTGGATATAGCACAAAATCCTCAGAGTCCACCTCTTTTCAGTTTGACAGGATTAATTCCCTCTGAAGGGGTTATAACATTTTCAGATTTCATGTCTTTCTATGAAAAACAAAAAAGGCTATAGTTCTTTTTTTATTTTCTAAATGCAGTTCAATAGATGTATATACCTGAATGCTGAATTCCAATTTCAACGTGAATTATTTACACAGATAAAAAAACCTAAAGCCCAATCCAAGTAATAGAATGAGGACCCAAACTGAATTAGGGGGCTTTGCATACCTTGTCTGTTACACAATGCTCCTGATGTTCTGGCCTGTGAGCCTATTTTGAGCTGCAATGTATTTTAAACTGCTTCTACAGTGTCAGAACTACTGGCACTTTAAGGTAACTTTATTTTGGTTTTGTATGGTGAAGTAGAAAGAGAGAAGAAATGCTGGCAAAGTCTTTATACTACTTTGTTTTATTAGCCACCCTTGAAAAGCACTACCCATATGTGGGCTTATATGCACAGATCTTTCAAGTTATCTGGAATTCCTTCAAGGAACCTTTTATTTAATGTATCTGGATACAAATATGCAAAAGGTAAGTATCAATAATTCAGAGGAAACAACCAGTGATTCTTATGTAAAAGAAAGCATCCTTTTACATAATTTGAATCACATATAGTTGTGGTTCTTTCTAGACTAACAGGTGTTCAATCTCAAGTACTTCTGTTCTCCTAAGTATTCCAATATAATTTTCTAACCTATCACCATCTGGTAAGTCAAAGTGTAAAGAGTCCATGTGAAGCCTTGGGATAAAATAGCCTCACTATATACTTTTGATAAACTTTCTAACTATTCTATTTGATGTATCACAAAATAACAAACAGAAAGAAAAGCCTTTATCAAGCTTCATTTTAATCAACTTTTCATTAACTTTTAAACAGCTTTCAAAGCAAAAAAAAAAAAAAACCCCAAAACACCAGATTTCTTAAAATCAAAATCTTAAACGTTCATTTTACTTTTTTAATTCAATTGCCTGTTTAAAAGAGATGTGCAGTGTCTTTGAACAAACATGTTGTTTAAAAAGATATAAAACTATCAATATGAACGCACGAAGACCACAACTGCTCTTTTACAAAGGAATCCAAGACAACTGTGCCCAAAATAAGAATAAAACATAGCACTCATCTCTACAGGCTGTCACTGGTGTCTTTCTGTCCTGCATGCGCCATTCAACCTATGATCTAGCCTTGCTATTTGCAGGAAGAGGATCTTCACAGAGAACTAGAGATGCAGAAATATAGTCACAGGCCCAAATATGGATTAGGCTGGAGTGTTATTTAAAAAGCACAAGGCATACTGGGTTGATTTGTACACCTTATTCTAGCATGAATCAGGTTGGAGGCCTTCTGCATGTCCCCCCCTAATGCTCAACATTTCTCATTTTCTACAATAAATGAATAATTTCAACAATTCTCGTGGTTTCAGAAGATTCTGCATAAGGGTACCGTGGGGAATGGAGGCAAACATACCCCCCAAATTATTCAAGCCATAACATTACTGATATATGAAAGCTTATACTAAGAAATGCTGAAATCCATGTTCCAAGATGACTATGTAGTCATCTGAGCTGGAAGCAATGAAACCATACAAATAATTTGGGTATCTGTTAAAATTTAGACATGTTATTTGCATAGCATAATTCTGATTCCGGTACTTATGTATCTAATGCTCATTTAGTGTTTAGTTAAAATTGGTTCCTACAGACCATCAAGAATTTAACCCACTTAAAAAAAAAACAGATCAGAATCCTAAAAGAACAAATCAGTAAAATACCCAGAGCCAACCAATGTTGTGTAGTAAACCAAGATTCTCTACAACCAAGAAAACCTCCTGAGACTCCTGTGTTAAACAGGTTATGAAAGACAGCTAGAATGATGAAACCACAACATATTAAAGGTGCTTGGAAGAAGGAATGACTTAAGCTGACAAGCCAGCTAACACACAGAGATAAGGCAAATCCCCCAAAATCATAAATACAACTTAACTGGACTATAAAAAAGACAAGAAGATTCAAATATCATAAAAAAGAATATAGTGCTGAGAAATGTGATCATAAAAAAAATCCATTAATTATTAATTAAATAAATAAAAGTTAAGGCCCCCAAAAGTCATTACCATTGCAGTTTCAAATTTTCAGAAGTGCTTTCTTACTTTCCAGTTTCTCAAAAGTAAAGTTGGATGAAACAACTTCACTTTGTGTTCTTGAAGGCTTTCAGAGCTGGGATCTGATGGTTGTTGTAGGTTTTTTGGGCTGTTTGGCCGTTTTCTGGAGGTTTTTCTTCCTAACGTTTTGCCAGTCTCTGTGGCCAGCATCTTTAGAGGTCAGGAGCTAGAATTATGCCTGTATTCTGCAGAGACAGACAGAATTCTAGCTCCTGTCCTCTGAAGATGCCGGCCACAAAGACTGGTGAAACGTTAGGAAGAAAAACTTCCAGAACATGGCCAAACAGCCCGAAAAACCCACAACAACCAACTTCCCTTTGTTTCTCAAAAATAACTGATTTAAGAAAACTTACTATAAGAACCTTCAATACCTGTACTACAAATCATTGGTTTGTGGCATAATGCACATTCTCCTCCCATCCACTTCATTATCATCTTGTTAACCGCAATGTATGATAGCGCACTTGGACTGTGTGCTATGCCTTCTCTACCATTCAGTGAAGCCACCCCCTCAGCTGTAACATTAGATAAAATCCATTTCATATGGCAATCCCTTCATTAACAGAACAAATTAATTACAAATAAATATTTGGTAAACAGGACTTCTAATTCTGTTTCAACAAAAGTGTGGGTAACTGCTCAATGTGTTGAGTAAGTCGTTATCATCAAGAACCCATGCTTATTTGACATGCTGGGCTAAGAAACCATGCTGAACAATGACAACTGAACTTTTTTTTAAGGCTGCTCATCATTTCTAGCAATGTTTGAACCACTTATTTCATTTATAGCTGTTTAAACAATGGTGTACAAAAGTGCTCAGCTTCCTAATGAAGCAAGGCAGGTTACTTAATACTTGCAGGGAGGTCTTTATTTACATGTCTGAGGGTCAAGCTACACGTGATACTCTAGTATTCTTTTCAGGAGAAAGATGGGGTACAGATATTTTAAATAAATAAAAATACATGTCACACCCCTAAAATTATCTTATTGTCAAAATGCAATGATAAGAGTTTTATCTTTCCCATCTGCAGCTATCAGAAGCTTATAAGGTGATTCAACTCAGGGAACCACTGTATTTGTAACAGATTAGAACAACTTTATTGTAAAATAATACTTTTGTTCCTATCCCCACTACTGAACATCATTGAGTGTACTGAACAAATGTTTTTGCTCATTTAAAAATATATTTGATGTTATTCATAAGGTCCAACAGGGTGCCAAGACTCTGCTTTTTAATGGAACAACAACTTCATTATATCACAGGGGATGGAAGAAACATTTATTTGCCTTATAAAGCAAAAGAAGAGAGGATATTGTCTACATAGAAAATTGATGGAAAAATAATATGCAGAGTCAGGAGTTTTGTAAACAAGAGTTGCAGCTTTCCAAAACAGCTGCTTGCTTAAAATTGTAACACACACACTTCACAACCACTTTTCTTGAAACTACTGGTGCTCCACAAAGGAGAATAATGAAGTAAAATGTAATAATCTGAAATGGAATGTCAGATCTTCAGATTTTTTTTCCATTTAAGCTTTTAACTCAAATAGTGATCAATCTGCTGAGCAATGGACGCACTAAACTACTGGACAGCTTTTTCTCCTTCTCTCCTCTCTTTCTTTGCCAGGTAGTTCTTGAAGCATGTTCAGTAATATGAGCATTTTGGGGACAAGATGTATTTTTCTTTTGGGTGATGCATAACGAAAGAAACTCAACTAATATATGGCAATGTCCATTTAGTAACTGTTTCAGGTCCTCAGTTATTTACTATTCACTGGACAAAATCCTTTTGTGCAATTCTATGCTGCACAAGCAGATGAGGTCATCACCTGCCATCAATAAATTAACTTCCAATCTCCCGCATTCAGATTTGGAGACTTCCTAGGTTTCCCGTTTGCTCTGGGGAAGCCTCTCAGAGCTTTGGGGTGGGGAGGCTTTAATAGCCAAACACTGCTGCAGGATCACAGCCAGCAGCTCTGATCCCACTGCCAGTGACCCAGTGGAAATTTTTTGCTATTAGAAGCTCCCACCTCCCACAAATCATAAGGGTCCCAAAGGCTTCCCCAGGGCAAAGAAGAGTTGTAGGGAGCCTTAGAATAATGAAAGAGGAGCATAGGAAATTTTCATTTAATTTAAATTCAATATTACAATACCAGATGATGATGTCATCTAGCTCAAGGGTTCCGAAACCCCAGTCCACAGCCTGGTCCCAGTCCGTGGCCTGGGCCAGACTGGACTGTGGAGACAGATCTCCCACTCACCCACCCCCAGCATGCACTCCCTCTGCAAAGCCCCTTTGCGCATGTGCACGAGCGCTGCACCCTTCGTGCATGCACGCAAGTGTGGGTGTGTGTGTTCTGCCTTCCCCATCCAGTCCATGGTGTTAAAAAGATTGGGGACCACTGATCTAGCTTATATGATGTAAATTTAAGTCAACAGGATTTTGACCACTGATAGGAACAACATCTTAATTTTCACTTTGGAAGTAAGCAAACCAATCATGATACTTTGACATTTAAGGTCCACAGATGCATTAAACCAGTGGCTACTTGTTTACTTGAAATCAGATGAACTCTTTTTAGCAGTATGTCTGAGGAAGTGGACTTGTCCATGAAAGCTCACATTAAAATACAGCAGTTAGTCTTTAAGTTGCCGCAACATTTTTGTCTAATTTTTATTTTGTCTTTGCCTGATATGCTAGCAAAAACTAACACCCAAAACTACATCTTTGTAGCAGTGTAAATGGTCTGTGACTCTTTTCAAAATAAAATTAAAAAATAAATCCATTTTAAAAGTACAGTCTTCTAGTGATATGCACTGTCAAAAAGCATTCCCAAAATAAATCAATAAATACAATTACTTTTCAGCAGTATGGACATACCTGATTTGACTGTCCAGAAAGGTAAGGCTCAAAATCGTTGTCATGAACAGTATCCTTTTGATGAAGAGAACCATTTTGTACTGAAACAAAGGAACTACAATTATAACAATGTACATTCTTGAAGTTTCAATAAAGAACCATTTCTTAAAACATAGTGACAGCATATGTAAATAAAGCAGGCTTTATCCTGTGGCATTGTCAGTTCAGAGAAGGCAAAGGAATCAGATTTCAACAGGATGAAAAAAAAACCTCAAGATGCCATTGTTGTTTATAAAACTAGTTTGAACGACAGTTATTGAGAAGCTTTCAAGCAGGTTTTTCAACAGCCTGCAAAACAGCTTTGGCAAGGACAGAATACTGAAACAATGCAGTAACATACATTGCTCCTGTAAAGGAAAACTGGAGAGCTTATAGTAAGAGCAGAAATCTGAGAGGCCTCCATTTCAGCAAGGCATGCCACGAACAGGTCAATAAAATGCTAGCTGAGTGGTCTTTAAAGTTCAAAGCCTGGTATCTTTGCATGTAAGTTAGTAATGGAGAATTCTTAGGTCTGGTTAGTCAAGGTAAGGTTACTTCTTTGTTCTAAACCAAGAAGAGATGATCTTGGCCAGGACCAGGGCCGAATTTCACTTTGGACAGGAGCCTGAATGCCACACACTCCTGCCATTGGGGGTGGGGGAGACAGTGGTGTGTGTAACCCACTGCCAATAAATACCGTATTTTTCATACCATAAGACACACCTTTCCATAAGACGCACCAATTTTTAGGAGAAGAAAACAGGAAAATATAATCTGTTTTCTTCGCTCCATAAGACGCACAGACTTTCCACCCCCCTGTTTTGTGAGAAAAAAGTGCATCTTATGGTGCAAAAAATACGGTAAATAAATAAATGAAGCAGATCCCACCATCTTTCAGGACTTTATTATTATTAT